CTGGGAAGGCAACAGAGGGTGGCCCAAGTACTTGGGCCCCTGCCACAGATGTGGGAGACCCGGATGGAATTACAGGCTCCTGGCTTTAGTCTGATTAGTCCTAGCTATCGTGGCCACTTGGGGAATGGACCAGCAGAAAGAAGAGCTCTCTCTCTCCATCTCCATCTTCCTTCCCTCCCTTTCTTTGTCACTCTGCCTTTCAAATGTATGAATCTAAACATAAAAATGTCATGTTATGTAAAACTCAGAACATGTTGTCAAAATGTCATGTAACCCTTTGTTTGAAGTGTTTTGCTTGTTACCACCAAAAATACTTGTTGAACAAGTCATGAAAGCCACTTCTTTGTATTGTGTGCAATATTTGGAGGATATCATATTTACCCAATGTCCAATTTAAAGGAGACTTTATATATGTATGTATGTAAAAGATAATATATTGTTCCAGTGTCCTATTTATAGGACCATCTGTATTTTCATTTTTGGTGATAATAAAGTATATATAGCTCTACATATAATTTCCAACCTATTTTAGTGCACCTGTGTCAATTGTGTTTTAATATTCACAGAATTGAAAACTTGGAACTTAATGGGTCAATAATTGCCCACTGAGAAAGTTCACAAATTTTGAGGTGCATTTGTTGTACAAAAAAATTGATAGTACAACTTCCACAAGAATTGAAAATGCGTTTTGCGGCCGGCGCCACGGCTCACTAGGCTAATCCTCCGCCTGCGGCGCCGGCACACCAGGTTGTAGTCCCGGTCGGGGCGCTGGATTCTGTCCCGGTTGCCCCTCTTCCTGGCCAGCTCTCTGCTATGGCCAGGGAGTGCAGCGGAGGATGGCCCAAGTACTTGGGCCCTGCACCCCATGGGAGACCAGGATAAGTACGTGGCTCCTGCCATCGGATCAGCGCGGTGCGCCGGCCGCGGTGGCCATTGGAGGGTGAACCAACGGTAAAGGAAAACCTTTCTCCCTGTCTCTCTCTCTCACTGTCCACTCTGTCAAAAAAAAAAAAAAAATACGTTTTGCAATGTCATGTCTTGTTTAGCTACTTTTAAAGTCTAAGTTTATAATAAACTCGTTAAGAATAAATTGAACTTGATTTCTGATGGAGAAAAATGAACTTGTTTGCCTGCAAAGCAGAGAGCTGTGCCAGGCAGTGTCTTCCAACAAAGCCCAAACCACTGTTACAGTCTCTTGGGAAGCCTGACCTTGAGGGACTGGGGAGTTTCAGAAGCTGCAATTTTGAAGTTTTTCAGGTTTTCTAGTGTGATCACAGCTGCTGAAAAATTGACTGATAAACAGGGTCACTGAGTTTAGGCTCTTGCTGATTGGTTGTTGCCTATGAATACTGGGCTGTCATGGATTCTTTGTCTTTCAGGACTGGGACTTTCTCTATTACCAGAATTTTAGAAGCTTGATCTATCAGTGATTTGATGGATTTTTTTTTTTTTTTTTTTACAGGCAGAGTAGACAGTGAGAGAGAGACAGAGAGAAAGGTCTTCCTTTGCCGTTGGTTCACCCTCCAATGGCTGCCGTGGCCGGCGCGCTGTGGCTGGCGCACCGCGCTGATCCGAAAGCTGGAGCCAGGTACTTACCCTGGTCTCCCATGGGGTGCAGGGCTCAAGGACTTGGACCATCCTCCACTGCACTCCCTGGCCACAGCAGAGAGCTGGCCTGGAAGAGGGGCAACCGGGACAGAATCCGGCGCCCCGACTGAGACTAGAACCCCGTGTGCCAGTGCCGCTAGGCGGAGGATTAGCCTAGTGAGCCACGGTGCCGGTGATTTGATGGATTTTAAGAGATTAATTACTGGGGTGAGGTTATTGTTGACTGTCTGACTTGCAAAGCATATGAAGTTATCCAAAGTTATACGTAAACAATGAGTCAGAGAAAGACTTCCTTTATTAAACACCACAAATAAGCAATTTAATTTTGCATCTCCCTCTTTTTTAATCTTCCCGTAACCAAACCTTCAGAAAGACCATAGGTATTTTCTATATTTTTATTTGGGGTGTATAATTTTAAGCTAATATTGACACTAAATGATTCAGTTACCAATTACAGTGAGATAAATAGCTCTAAATGTTGACGTTTGTGATGTATTGCTAAATACAGGATATGTATGCCATCCTGACAAGTCAACACAGGATTCAGGACAAAATTATCAAATATAGAATGTTTTTGAATTATATCCGGGTCTAATTTATAAAGCTGAGTTGAGAGGCTGGCATTGTGGTGTAGTGGGTAAGGCCACTGCTTGCAATGCCAGCATTCCACATGCGTACTGGTTCTAGACCTGGCTGCTCCACTTGCACCTAGCTGCTCCACTTCTGATCCAGATCTCTGCTAATGTGCCTGGGTAATCAGTGGAAGATGACCCAAGTGCTATATAAAGTTGAGTTAGAGTGACAATACCATTGAAAGAAAAGTGTTTTTTGTGTTTTAAGATTTATTTATTTTTGACAGAGTGGAGAGTGAGAGAGAGACGGAGAGAAAGGTCTTCCTTTTCCGTTGGTTCACCCCCCCCCAATGGACTCTGCGGCCGGCGTGCTGCAGCCAGCGCACTGCGCGCTGATCTGAAGCCAGGAGCCAGGTGCTTCTCCTGGTCTCCCATGCGGGTGCAGGGCCCAAGCAATTGGGCCATCCTCCACTGCACTCCCGGGCCACAGCAGAGCTGGACTGGAAGAGGAGCAACCTGGAAAGAATCCAGCGCCCAGACCGGGACTGGAACCCGGTGTGCCGGCACCACAGATGGAGGATTAGCCAAGTGAGCCGCGACGCTGGCCTATTTATTTATTTGAAAGAGAGTTAAGGAGAAAGAGGGAGGAGGAAAGGAGGCAGGGAGAGAGAGAGCACAATATCCTTCTGCTGGTTCACTCCTTAAATGACCACAACAGCCATGTCTAGCCATGTCTGGGCCAGATGGAAACCAGGAGTCAGGAACTCCATCCTCTTTTCCCACATAGGTAGTAGGGTCCCAAGTACTTGGGCCATCTTCTGTTGCCTTCTCTGGCACATTAGCGGGGAGTTGGATTAGAAACAGATCAATTGAGACTCGAACTGGCCCTCCAATATAGAATGCCAGCATCACCAGTGGAGCTTAACCCACTGCACCACAACACCTTCCCCTGATAGGAAAAGCTTAATGTTATCGTTTCGGAAAGTAAATGCACTGCACACACCACACAGGCCACAAGAGATCTCATCATTTGAAAAATGCAGCAGAGACAGAAGAGGAACTAGGATCCTGCCTTCATGACTAAAAGAATGTTATTGGGTGGAGGTGGGGAGACATCCTCATCTGCATTGGACAGGAAGGGAATATACCCGTTAGGGTTTGCTTTGCAGAGGTAGGGGCTTGTAATACTTGTAATATAGATTTCAGGTATCTTAGTAACTTGCAAGAAAGAGAAGTAAACAACTTTGGTCTTGTGGTTAGTGATTAAAAATACAGAACTTGGGATGGCGCCGTAGTGCAGTGGTTAATCCTCCACCTGCGGTGCCGGCATCCCATATGGGCGCTGGTTCTAGTCCCGGCTGCTCCATTTCTGATCCATCTCTCTGCTATGGCCTGGGAAAGCAGTAGAGGATGGACCAAGTCCTTGGGACCCTGCACCTGCATGGGGGACCCAGAAGAGGCTCCTGCTCCTGGCTTGGGATCAGTGCAGCTCCAGCCGTTGCGACCATTTTGGGGTGAACCAACGGAAGGAAGACCTTTCTCTGTCTCTCCCTCTCACTGTAACTCTACCTTTCAAATGAATAAATAAAAAAAAAAAAACTTTAAAAAAATACATAACCTAAGAGAACACAGGTACTAAGAGAACACAGATAAATCCTATGTGTACAGAGCACTGTCAACCCTACTCCCAACGTTTCCAGCATGTTCTACCATTCTGAAACAACACATCACCACATTGCTTCCTTGTTCATTTACACTTTTGTGGTGAGTCATTCATTATCTCTGCTTCTCCCATCATACAGCTAATGAAAATAAAACACCCGCATTTTGTAGACAAATGCATATGTGTAGAGAAGGTTCTAGCACAGCCACAGGCTCAGACTTCATTCTCTGGCTTCCTAGACTTCACCCTCTTAAACTTCACTGAGATCTTTATTTTTACGTGGCACAGGTACATTTCTGTAGAACTGTTTCTGCAACTTCCTTTAAATAACTACACAATGGCCAGTGCCACAGCTCACTAGGCTAATCCTCTGCCTGCGGCGCTGATACTCCGGGTTCTAGTCCTGGTTGTGGCGCTTGTTCTGTCCGTAGTAGGCTATGCTTCCGCCTGCAGTACCAGCTGCTCCACTTCCGATCCAGCCCTCTGCTGTGGCCTGGGAAAACAGTGGAAGATGGCCCAAGTGCTTGGGCGCCTGCACCCATGTGGGAGACCCAGAAGGAGCTCCTGGTTTCGGACTGGCCCAGCTCCAGCTGTTGTGGCCATTTGGGGAGTGAACCAGCAGATGGAAAACCTCTCTCCACTTCTCAAATAAATCAGTCTTTAAAAAAATTATAAACAAATGACGTTTTGAGTGGTTACAATGTGCCCTTATGGCATGAAAATTTTGAAATAATACATCCTTAAGATTTGCGTGAATATCCTTTTACTATATCCAAGAAAATCTAGGTGTGTCGCCTTTAAGAAACAGCCGCGCTCCGTCCTTTTTGTGGAGCCCTGGAACTCCATTTCCCAGAGTCCCCCACGGGGCACTACGTATTTATCCCTAGTAGGAGGGACGAACGGGCTAACAGACGTGCAGGAAGCGTAGGAACTACACAACCCAGAATTCCGTGGGGCGGACAGGACTGAGCCAATGCGGACCTGAGAGTCGACGCTTGCGTGCGTGCACGTCACGTGAGGGCAGTACTTCCGGCGTCCTCCTGGGAGCTGCCATTTTTGTTGCTCTATGGTTGCTTTAACGTTTCGGGCCGTGGAGCGCTTGGTTGTCACCTAGGCGACGGGGAGGCAAAGCAAGCTAAGAAGTTTGGTTCCCACTGCTAAGAGGCGAGCGTGCCCGGGCTGAGAACGGCGTGGCCCCGTCGCCGTCGCGATTGCCGGCCGCTCTCTGCCCTGTTCTCCGGCTCGGTTGGCGGAGGCCGTCCCCATGAACTCGACTCCGGTGGGTCTGCGTTCCCAGGCCCGCACCCGAGTGCTAAGGCTCGGATGGAGGGGCGCCTTCTCGGTTCACTGTGTCCAGAGGAGACGGGCGCTGTTGTGTGGGTGCTTCTATTTCAGTCATGATGAGGTGCGAGGGAGAGCATTGAGGAAACTTTGTGCAGCCAAGTGAGGTTTTGGTGCCATTGCAATGGCAGTGGGGCAGCTGGGAGCCGTGTGGTGTTGCGAAGGGAGGGCGGATGGGAAGGCTGTGACCGGAGTTCGCAGTAAAGATTGCGTGGAACGGTGGGGAGCGGAGGCGGGGAGGCTGGAGAGGAGGCCCCGGGAATATCATGGTGAGGTCGGACGAGAGTGGCGGTGCTGGGGGGAGACGTGATGATGTTCTGGGAGCCGGCAGGATTTCTTGCTGCGTCGTGCATGGCGTGTGAGTTCAGATGAAGGCGTTAAGCACCATCCTAGGTTTTCTGTTTCGTAAGCATCTATCTGGCCGGTGTTGGGAAGTCAGCTTGGTCTAGGGTTTGGCTGTCATTGTCCTCAGGGGTCGCAAAGTGAAGGCATTGAATGGGTAGATGGATACAATGGTTTGGAGATACCGTGGAATGGTGGGTGTGCACCGGACCAGGGCATGGCCTGAGGTTCAGATTGAAGAGGGGATGCTTTTGCAGTTTTTATTCACTTTATTTCAGAGACAGAGATCTTACGTCTTTTGGGTCATTACCTAAATGCCCTCAACAGGATCTCCCACTCTGGTGACAGGGACCCAAGTACTTGAGCTGTATCTGCTTCCAGGTTGAGCATTGGTAGGACACTGGGTTGGAAGCAGAGTAGCCGGAACTCGAACCAGGCACTCCTGTAGGGACGTAAGCCAGTCCTCCTAATGCCCACTTCCGTGAGTAGGGAATTCTTGCAGCTTTGATTTGAGATGGATTCTGTGGTGAGAGAAGGAATGGGTCCACAGTCCTGATAACTTCCTCCAAAAGCCGTAGACCTGGGAGATTCTGGCTAGTGTCTGCCAAAAGGAGGGCCCAGATGGGCTAAGGAGATGGCCTAGGGTGGAGACTGAGGTGTGAGGTGTGTGTTCAGTTTCTTTATCTGTGACCTTGGTTGACCATTAGTGTGTCGGTCTCTGTGGAACAAGAGAAAGCTCATCCGGGCTAGTGGAGCAGCTGGGCTGCAGACTAAGTCACTGCTCTCTTCCACATTTCAGCAAGAGGCAGGATTTACTGATCCAGCAAAGCTGCTTTCACACAGATATGTAGCAGATGGGTCTTGTTGCAGAGAGGGCTAGTAGTACCTGCCTGCTCAGCTCCTCCATTCAAGTCATTAATTTAAGATTGTTTGGAACACTTATTTAAGCTCTAAATTAAGTAGTATCCCTGTAAGTAGATGTGCATAGACAGAGAATTAGAAGTGAAGTTAGGGGGCCGGCACTGTGGTGTAATGGGTAAAGCTGTCGTCTGCAGTGCTGGCATCCCATATGGGCACTGGTTCAAGACCCAGCTGCCTCACTTCTGGTCCAGCTCTCTGCTATGGCCTGGGAAAGCAGTAGAAGATGGCCCAAGTCTTTGGGTTCCTGCACCCATGTGAGAGACCTGGAAGAAGCTCCTGACTCCTAGCTTCGGATCAGTGCAGCTCCGGCTGTTGCGGCCTATTGGAGCGTGAACCAGCGGATGGAAGATCTCTCCCTCTCTCTGCCTCTCCTTCTCTGTGTAACTCTGACTTTCAAATAAATAAATAAATCTTTAAAAAAATTAAATTTAGTAGGCATAGCACTTGGGCCATCCTCCACTGCACTCCCAGGCCATAGCAGAGAGCTGGACAGGAAGCGGAGTAGCCAGGTCTCAAACTGGCGCCCATATGGGATGGGCCAGAGCGTTAACCCACTGCGCCACAGCGCCAGCCCCTTAAATTTAAATTTGATTCAAAGCTTCATTCTAGTTCTCCTGCTGGCCACCGTGTTCTGAATGTCTAACCTGAATTTTTGCCAGCAGCCTCTGGAACACATGACACATGGCTTCACTCCTGATACTCCCTCTGAAAGTTCTGCATATTGTGATGTCCCCCTTTTTAGGTGGTGGAGTATCTGTCTGTCCAAACAAGGACACTGGATGGTGGTAGTGGGGGGTCCATGAAGGGGTGTGTGTGTGTGTGTGTGTATTTATGTATGACTGTGAGTGTGTAAGACAGTGGTGTCTAGGAGTGAGACTTCTGAGGTGAGAGTAACCATATGAGTGCCGAGGGGGAATGGGAGATCTGTGAGGAGCATGTTTAAGTGTTGACTAGGGTGGCATGAAGGTGTGGTAGAGTGGTGAAGGTCAGTGCTGGGTTTTGGGTGAGGTTTTGATGGACAGCAGGTGATCTTGACTGCTTAAGGGACAGGGTGTGAAATCAGAAGTGAGAGATATGGGCCATGCTGTGATGCAGTAGGTTAACACTCCTGTGGTGCTGACATCCCATGGGAGGGAACCCATGGAAGGGTTATGGCCTTGCACCCTCATGGGAGACCTGGAAGAAGCTCCTGGCTCCTGGCTTCAGATCAGCCCAGCTCTGTCCGTTGTGGCCATTTGGGGAGTGAACCAGTGGGTGGAAGACCTTTCTCTCTGCCTCTCCCTCTCACTGTCTGTAACCCTGCCTGTCTAATAAATAAATAAAATCTTAAAAAAAAAAAAAAAAAAAAAAAAGAAGTGAGGGACAGCCAGGAAGATGTGAGGTCCTCATGTACGTTTGGGTGACTGTGAAGTGAGAAACAGTGCCAGGTGGGGAGACCTTCAAAGCAAGGGTTGAGCTTCCCAGGGCATTGATGTACTGGGGCAGAATTGGCTGCTGAAGTTATTTGTCATGACCTACTGCCTGGTTTCTGTGTACAGAATGATCTGTTTGGAGGTAAAAGGAACCACTATAGTGTGTGTTGGGAGGTGTCTGGAATTGCAGTAAGAAGGGGCTAGAGAGATGACTGAGGGGTAGTGAGACATAGGTGGGAGGAGTGAAAAGAATGGCCCTTCGTAGGTGAAGCCACCGCTTGTGGTGCCAGCATTCCATTTGGGCTCCAGTTCGAGTCCCAGCTGCTCCACTTCTGATCCAGCTCTCTGCTGTGGCCTGGGAAAGCAGTGGAGGACAGCCCAAGTGCTGGGGCCCCTGCACCCGTTTGGGAGACCTGGAAGAGGCTCCTGGCTCTTGGCTTCAGATCAGCACAGCTCCAACCATTGTGGCTAGTTGGGGAGTGAACCAGCAGATGGGAGATCTGTCTGTCTGTCTGTCTCTCTCTCTCTGCCTCTCTGTAACTCTGCCTTTCAAATAAGTAAATAAAATCTTAAAAAAAAAAAAAATGGTGTCCTTGACCCTAGCACTGGGCACATAAAGGAGACCGATGAGTCTGAGTTTGGTTGTCAGAGAAATTAGCTGATGAAATTAGGGGAGGGGTCCACATAGCAGGCCCACAGCCTGCTTTTTTTTCTACTTCTTTCAGCACCAGTTTTTCTGTGTGCTGAATGCAGTGACCAATGGAGATGAGAGAAAGGGTGCCAGTAGCACCAAGGACCTGCTGTCTCATCCCCATTGGGAAGGGATGGAGGGAAGTCTAGCAAAATATGAATATGTGGGGGAAAAGGACTGAGAACCTGGAGAGAGAAGTGTGGTAGTGATTGTACCCAGTGGGTTTTAATTTAGGGACTGACAACAGGAATAGGCCAATGCCGTTGAAAGAGTTTATTTCTTACCCATTTATGAGGAAGATGCCTACCATGTAATTCAGAGCCACGTGATGAAGTAATCAGATTTTTGTAGGAGGCAAAAGACAGGGACAAGAGGTAAGCTTAGGACACAGCATTTGTTGGCATTCCCAAGGGAAAAGCAAGGCGGGCAGAGTGATCAGTTGAGGTTTGGCTAATTTGAATAATTCGAGCACACCTGGAGCTCAAGGGCTATCACTCATTTCTTGCACCTGGTCCTGGGTTCATTTAGGATTAGGGAAATCTAGCTTAGTGTGTGAGTTAGATAAGAAGATTGTTCAGAATTTGGGGTCTGGATGGAAGGGGCGATGTAAACAAATTTGGCCCCATAAGCAGTGAATGCCAAATAGCTAAATGAAAATCTAAGAAGACAGCATGACAAGAAGCTGCTCCTCTACTGACCTTTCCCAATTTTGGCAGGGCCGTGTGGCCTTTGAGGATGTGGCCGTATATTTCTCCCAGGAGGAGTGGGGACACCTTGACGAAGCACAGAGGCTTTTATACTGTGATGTGATGCTGGAGAATTTGGCACTTTTGTCTTCACTAGGTAAGGTCCTCGTACTCTCCCAGGATCCCTGGCTGGGTGCTTTTCTCTTCTTTTTACCCGAGGGTGGCTCTGTCTTCTCCACACTGGGCTGTGGGTGCCACTTCCTTCCCTCATACATGTTTTGTGGGAGCCGCATGGGTTCTGTGCACTGTATTTGTCTCCCCACAACCATCCCGGTCCCATGCTGCTCTTGCAACATGAGCCTCGAGAGTTAGAAATTTTGTAGTTTCTCAAAGAGATCCCAGTGATCTTGCCTGTCCCTGGTCAGATTGCCCTGTACAGCTGCATGGATCCTCAGTTCCTCTTGGAGGTATTTTTGTGCTGTGCCGGGAATTTCAGTCACCTGGTCACCAGTTTGATTCTATAAGACTTCCCTGACTTTAAAGCATTTTTAGAATGTGGGATGAATCTGTGTGGGGGATCCAGGCCACGCCCCTTCCTTGTTATTCCCATGGGACTGGCCTCTTCACATTCCCTATAATTTCTCACCTTTAGCCCTGGCAACTTGAGAGGGCAGTATTTCTCCAGCAGGGCATTACTGGTACTGAAAGTTGGAAGAGAATATGAAGTCAGAGCTGTGTTCCGGTCACACTGGGAACTGTCCTGATGCCACGGCCAGTGACTGCACCTCATTGCCGTGTCTTCTTCCCCATTGTCATTTCTACTCTGACTTCCTGCCACTTCTTCTGCCCCGTCTCTCACTTCTGTGGCCTCTGTGTCCTGCTCATT